GTGTAGCGATCCTTTTTACAATTTTAATTTGAATATATCTTCATTACAAAATATTAGGTAAAAAGTTTAACCTTTTATTTTATATGTAAAATTTTATATGTAAAATGTGTAATATATATATGTACTTTTTTATTATATAAATAGTAACGAGACACGCGTACATGCGTACAAAATTTGTCTTTATATTTTAAATGTTATAATATACAATAAATTTATCTTTGCGTTTTTCTCACGGATATCTATAAAAAGTACGTTTTATCTGTTATTTCAAAATTTATTACTTTTAGCAACACTTTGTAACCAAAAAGTGTATATGACATGTAATTCAATATAAATAAGAATTTAAATAAAATTAATAAGGCAGTGGAGAGAAGTGATGGATGTAAATGTAAAAGGTTTGGGAACGTTCGTTTAAAATGCCTTTCAAACCCTAAGGAGAATAAAATAAACGAATCAATCAATCAATCAAATAAATATAATAAATAATATTTAATTTTTAAATATATTTTAAAACAAAATGCCTGATATTGAAGTTTTCGCAAAATAAAACATTTTTCATATAATAAATAATTTTCATATAATTTAATAATTTCTGTGTATAAATGTTTAATATCGAGCAAAAACGTAGGCACGTGTTAATTCTTTTAATAAAAGATATAAAATTCATATAATGGAATATAAACTACTACTTCAAAAGACTTAATTAAAATATGTATTCATAAAATTGTAAAATATGAAATTAAATTATCTTTCACATTTTCAAGAAATAAAAATTTGTTGTTAATCGTTTTATCATTTATATAAAATTAAAAATTCTGGATTTAATAAATTCAGTTTTTTGGAAAAATAATGTTCATCTCAGCTCTCACATAAATTAATTTTAAATTGATCAAAGGATTTAAAAATAAAAAACAGTTTGAACAACAATCTTATGCAAATATCATTATTCATAGAAGCAGCTATGTAGAGTACATGTTCTTTGAGACTCGCGTCTTCAAAATTTCAAGTATAAAGCTCGTGAGGTAAACGTCAACAAATTCAATTCCCCTTTAGACTAAAACAAAATCGAGCAACGCAGATATTGTCGGAAAATGTGTCAACCGTGCAATTCTGTCACGTTTCTCGAACAACTCATGTGGCCGCGACTACCCGCGGATGTACACCATAATTATTCGCATCTCTTAATTCACGTAATTCACACCTTCTCCAGTCTTGTAACGTGAAAGGATGACGTCGCCACTGTTCGCATATTCCGCGCGAGTATTTCGCACCTATCTCACCGAGCATACTCGCCAATCTTCCCGAGGTGCACAGCCAAGCATCGTGAACCTTCCCTTGAATACAGATTACTCGAACACTGAATTTTCCTCATCAAAACTCTAAATGGAAGGCGCGTCTCTTCGTATCTCTCCGCCTGTCGCTGCTAAACATCTCGGCGAGTAAACTTCTGTCGATACTTGTTAATATGTAACATCCGCGACGTCAGCGCATTATTAGCCGTAAAGATTACAAAACTTTGTCCAAATGACTTCATAGAATATCTCTTCATTTTCAAGACCATTCGTTCCATTTATATCTCGACGTCGAAACAAACGGTACTCTTTCCCGATGTGACCTCCGGTCTGGTACCCACGCAGTGGAGAGAAGATACGAGAGATATCCAGTTCATCCCGCACACTCGCCATGCGGGGTTGGTTCCACTTGCCGAGAACTATCAGCCAGCGCTGGTATTAAACTTTCGAATTTATAGCGCGCGTCGTGGCTATATCGATCGAACGCGAAAGGCAACCCATCGCCCGCACCTTCATCGGATATAATATTTCGCTAGAATATTATTAGCAAGAGCTTCATCGAGTTGTTAACTGCTCGTGTACCGCTGCACTGTACGCCGAGCTGAATTTACAACGCGCCGACTGTTACTTCGGGTTCGGGCGATTTATACTTCGCTCGAACGACGGCGATATCTACACCTCGGGACCACCTTGAATTATGACGGAGTCAAAACGGGAGAGAATGCTCGTAGTTCGTGTTTGTTCATGGATATGGTTTTTGATAGATGATGCTAGCGAATGAAGTTCAATGGAGCAGCAAAATTGTTATTATTTTCAATCCATGCATTGGGTTGTGGTATTTTCTTTATGTCTCTTATTGGAATTATAAAACTTACTGATTTTGTACATTAACAGTATAGATTATTATTATTGTTGTTATTATTACATCATAAATCTAGTTAATCGAATTTTGAATAATCTTTCCGTAAAAAGTATAATGAATTTTTAATGCATATTTTCTTGTAATTCTAACATTACAATAATCGATCTTTATTTCCTAAATGCATCATGTTGAAGAAATCATGAAGGCATCGTGAAAGGATTAAAATAATTGAAAATAGTTGGCATGAAAATAAAATTACAATACAAGAAATATGAATATTGTATAATGAGGTTCATCGACCAGATTATAGTAAATTTTTCCTTTCTTTACTCGAAAATAAGTAACAAAGGGTACAGACGGTAGTTAACGAACACAAGAGAAACAACGCTACGGTCAGAAAGATAATATCAGATAATTACCTACCGCGTAAGGGGTATTTTACTTGATTATTTTTTTATATCTAACGACATTAAGCCAATGGTAGCTACATGATCGTTACATGTGCAGGACGGTACTATGATGATTTCTTCACGTGATATAAAATTCTTTTTCTTCTTCAAACGGGATCGTGAGAAGCCCGAGTAAATTTCTGTTACGGTCCACGGCAAATTCAGAGGGAAATGCGTCCCTCAGAGGAAACGGCAGCGTCATTTCACGTAATCACACAAAGTTTTTTGCGAAACATTTTCCTGCCCGCACATCATGTGTAACTTACGAGCTGAATATGCCGCACGTCGATTTTGCAGCTCCCCATGCCTTTTATACGGTTTATATCCAACTCCTTAATTACACCAGCGCCGCAGGATTGCCGGACCGAGGCAGTGCAGATTAATTGGATTATCGACCGTCGTTGAGCATAACGTTTTCGCTCGAAAACAAAGATCGATGTTTCTGCCGAAAGGTGGAGAAGGGTCTTTTGGGATCCACCACGCATCAGTGACTTTTCTGTCTTTATTTAAAAAAATAAAGGCAAATTTCTGCGTAAAAGTCGAAAAAAGAGTCTCGATCAAAATGTTCAATAATTTCATCATGTATAAATTTCATTTGCTAGTTTCCAACGGTGGAAAAAAGTAAATAATGTTTAGTTTCGTGAAAAGAGGAAAGAGAAAGAAAAGGAAAGAGCGCGCACCAGGCGGAAATAGAAGAGAGTATACACTCGCAAATTCTTGGATTTTCAGAAAAATGGAGAAAGGATTAAATTCCTGTGGATAAACTTTCATAAAGTATAATACTAAAATAAATATATATTTTACATTTTATTATTTTAAAGCGTTTGTTCTATGTGGTAAAGGATAAGTAATTAATAATGGAAAGAAGAATAAGCACTGATATAATCCAACATATTATTCCCAATACATAAACGATGTGCTTTCTTTTGTTACACAACGTTATATTAGGCGATATTTTTGCATATTCATGATTCCGCTATAAAATTTAGAGATACGTGAATCTCGCTCATATACAATTTGATTGTGATAAGAAAAAGAGTAAAATGAGCCGCTGAAAAGAATCCTGTCATAATAAAAATCAAACGAATCACTACAAAAATAGAATCGTAACAAACAAGATTGATAACACGATGGAAACGTGGAAATAGTAAAAACGGCAATATCTGAAAATATTACACGTTCACGATACTGCACGGTTATACAATAACGGTACGTGCATACGGTGGCATAAAAAGAATTTTTTATGCATATCCACCAAGTTCTCTATTGTTTACGTGTAGTTTTACATTTTTTTTCCCCCGACAACATGGAGAAGGGAAAAAAATATTGCTTCTTTCACACGGTTTACCATTATTTCATTCTGATAAAATACCACAGCGCTGTAATCACTGATACCTGCTGTGAACATCATAATGTTCATTATAATAAACAACCTCTGATGTTGTTATCCTAGATGCGGAATTAATTAATCTTTCCATTAAAACCGTCACGAAAATTACATACGTGTCTGATCCGGCGATTTTGTTTTGAAAAGAATGCAATATCTAACCATTTTATTAAGACTTCACAAAAATTATAAAGCTATGATGAGAGAGAAAGAGAGAGAGAGAGAAAAATGAAAGAGAAAGAGAGAATAATACATAGCTGGTTTTGCGTAATAAAAATTTTTATTTCACGCAGACGACATATAAACGACGAAATAATTACGAACATTTATTATAAAGTGAACGTTTATATCTATTCACAATTAATCTCCTACACAAAAACGTTCAAAAGCACAAAGCCAATTTAACCGAAACCGGAAAAAAGACTGATTATTTTCATGCTCTCTAAAAACGAAAACGGACCGTACGACCTATATTCTGTTCCATAAAAGCAATTCGTTTTATAATTGCTGAGATGATTTTGTATACTGTTCCTTTTTTTCCTATTTTTTAAAGACAAAAGCATTCCACTTAATGGCACACGTCATCTGAATAAAATGTTTTGTTTTAATACTCTCAGTTTTACTTCTCATATAACGCAATTCAAGAAAATTCATTTACCTTTCAATGTACATCGTAAAAAGAGCTAGATATATAATTCTTAACTGTCCCATGATTCACGGTTACAACTTGTTTAGCGGGCCTTAATAATAAATTACTTGGTGCAATTTTACTTCGAGGAAACTTCATTTAATTCCTTTAATGCCGCGTCGCGCAAACCCGGAAACTGCACGTACAGCCGTTCGTATAGCGTTTTCGACCCGCCGCGCCGGGAGGAAATTCGCAATGCAGCGAACAGTATCTGCACAATCTCACCTCGACATAGTTTGTTTGTGCACAGGCTATTAGGCCAGACCGCGTCCGACGACTATTAGCGTCCACCGCGAGGAATTAATTAATCCTTTCATTAAAGCCGCTACGGAAGACCACACGGATGCCGACTGCCTGATCGTGGTCGCAATGTCACACGGCGAATCGGGTCTATTGCATTCGACCGACAGCCTGTATCCAGTCGATATGCTGTGGGCTCCCTTCACGGGCGATCGATGCTCCAGCCTGGCCGGGAAACCGAAGTTGTTCTTCATTCAGGTACGCCTATCTAACAGATCTGCCGTGTACAAGAATCGAGCGGATGAATCGTACGTATACGCCACCCGTGTGTTCGCGGCGAACAATGAGCGATTCCGCGAAGAAGAGAAGCCACTTTCCACTTTCGTTCATTGCGGACGATCGCCCAAGTGATGGATCATCCCAAGTGAACTGTCTAAGCGATGTTACATGCTGAGTAATTCGCGAGAGATTTATACGGATCATGTGAAGTGATTTATGGGTTAATATAGGCTATTGTACAGCCTGGTGTTGAAGTTAATTGTGCTTTCCAGGATAGGCGAGGCTCTCAGGTACTTGAATACCTTTCTTTTCATAGTTTGCCTTGGCGAAATGGCTCGCAGAGATATCGAAATCTTCTTTATTCGCACAAATACTTTCACTACAATTATATATTATTTAAATTTATAAGTGTACTTCGGTGTGAATGTTTTCGTGGTGAATCAAAGTTTGATGCACATTCAAATATTATATAATTACCCGGTAGATAATTTATTTAAGATACCTAATAAAAAATGCGTATTGTGTAGAATCATTCCTATGATTTTTGCATTGTCCACATTTGTGTTTCACGAAAATCCAGTTGTATTTTAATAACGTTAGAGGGACAAACAAAACGCGAGAGCAAAAAAAAAGATTATTACGTTTTCCGGTTGGTTTTGATATACAATATTCTTGCGCGGCAGATATAAATTTAGTTAAATGCGATTGTATATTCCGTGCGCTCGTATAACGTAACGTAATAGCAAGAGCGATATCCATGTCGGTTATCCTGATCGGAAAAACGAAAAAAATCATTACATTATTTTACAAATTTGACATACACAGAGTGGCCAAGAACTATCGCTATTTGTTTTACTCGTATATATAAATTTAAATTTGATTTGGAATAGACAACATAAAAGTAAAACAAATAACGATAGTTCTCAATTACTCTGTATGTCAATTTTTGTAAAATCATTTTTTTCGCTTTTTCAATCAGGATAACCGACATGGATATCGCCCTTGCTATTACGTTAAGAGTTTATCAAATACAATCAAATATTTGATAACTTTTGATTTTGATTGACTCGCTATTCAAAGACGGAAGAGATAGTTTAACAATTTTAACTTGCGTTTCACCGTTTCTAATTCTTCTAAGAAACAGGTTATAATACCCATTATCGATATCCATTACCCGCGTATTTTTCATTAAGACTGTAATGGCAAAGTTTTCTTCTGATTTTTCTGTAATTGTGTTCTAACGGATGAGAATAGACGACGTCGAAACTGATGATACCAGAATGGATGGCCATTCCGCGAGAGTCACGGAAAGAGGGAGTCAACTGTAAATAGGACCCTCGTGTCGCAACGGGGGATGGCGTATAATTGCAACGATCATCCGCGTTTCAAAAATGCATCAGGTTGACGCAGCCGCGTCCAGGTGTAATTCCGGCAACAATGCCGCGCTAGATCTAATTCTTTCTCCGGGCATAATCCTACCGAGATCGTTTTCCATTTAGAGACACTCCCCATTTATCTGCCTCACGACGATCTCCGAGGGATTTGCGGGCTCGCGCACATTAGTGCACCGTCGGGTTTTTAGCGGGCGCAGCCAATGAAATATGTGCATTCTGCGATGTAATGGAAACTGTTCGCGCGCTAGAAATGCTGCAGTAATTAAGATTACTCCCCGTCCATCCTCGCCGGAGAAAGAGAACGGTGGCAAAAACTGTTATTTGCATAATTCCCAAAGTAATGCGAGCGGCGTGCATCGTTTCGGGCATTTCGGCCACCGGCCGAATTAAAAACTGCCGAGCGGAGAGAGAGCTATTCGTGTCGCGCAATATTCTATACATTTGTTTTTTTCCCCTCTTTTCCATTTTTTTCTCCTTTCCATTATTTTATCCGCGAGCATTTCCGTCATGCTCGCTTTCCGCGCCCGCTCGATGTGCAAATGTTTAGTCGGCCGAATGCTCGAATATTTTAAATGGTGGAAACACACGCGTTCTTCTACGCATGTTATTATCGCTTTTATATTCACGCGTGACATTTGTACGCGCGTATACATATTCAAGTGACAGAAAAAAAGATATAGGCGATATAATTTCATTGTGAGATATGAGCTATACAGTCACATTTATCTGAGGTAACGTGTACAATTATGTGACATTAGAATTATACATACAAGCAGAGCTTATCAGAGCTCTTACACTATCGCCTATGTCCTGCAATGTTTATCTCAATTTTCTTCAAGGAGGGATGACTTAAACCATTATGTTAAGGAATATAGATGGACTAGGGATTGGTTTATTAAACTAGGTAAAAATTGTGTGGAAAGATTATAGTAAGATTATGGAGTGATGAGTTGGACACCACCAAAACAAAGATATTGGTGAAGGTTTATAAGAAAAAATTAGTAAAAAAAAAAGTGAGAATTAGAAGGTTAGAAAGTAGAGTAGTTGATTAGGCTGTACAATACATTATGTGTGAATGATAAATTTAGTAGTGTATGGTATGAGTGGCATTTAAGAATTTTTTTGTAAACCAAGTTCACTTCCTGGTTGTAGCTGAAGTTAATAAATTATTATATTACATACAGGCAGGGTTGCCACTCGTCCCGATTTTTCAATATTTGTCCCGCGTCCCGACAGGATGACAGCCGGGACGCTGAATGACCCAATTTTTAGAAAGCATGTTAAATTATTTTGACAGTCATTTTGTGACTTTGTTTTCCCCATGTAAACAGGAACTATAATGTTCCGAAAACCGATATTACTAAATATTTCTGCTGAAGATATCAGTATTGATCAAAAGTAGGTAAATATCTTTAAAAATGTAAAGGAAAAGAAGCTATGTGATTTATCAATTGTTAGGTATATCTAGCGCTTTGAACATTTCATCATCTAACGCATTTGTGGAGCGAGTATTTTTCTACATGTCATTAAAATGGATAAATATTAGAATAAAAAGCCATACTAATGAAAAGATAAAACACAGATACTATGAATACTTGTAAATGTTTCTATTTGTTAAACTTACTCCCTTCTTTCTAATTAAAAATCTCGATTTCTGTTATAAAGAAAAGATGGTAACCCTGTATATAGGAAAATCTAATTTCCAATATCGTGGAAAAAAAAAGGAAATATTTTATCAAATATCAGAGAAAAGCGAAAATTAATTCTTGCATATCTTCATAAAAACTACTTGTAAGTAGCTTTCGGTCATATAAAATCGCCGATTGGTATATCAGTCGCGAAAAAATTGCGGAGATAGTTCGGGGACGATCCATCAAGAACAACTATTCCGACAATGATTGTGATTTACTTTGTCACAAAAGAAAAAAGACCGGAAGACCAACTTACCGGATATCTTTCGAAATTACTGCTTCCGTCCCAAATAGAGTTAGAGGATCGATGATCCCAAAGATAAAGCGCGACGGGAATAAATGAGGGCGATGAAGTTAGCGCTCGTAACGATCGAAATGATTAATAATTTGGTCTCGGGTCTCAAATGCGCACGCGTGCATTCGAAAGCCTAAAATGGGCAATAATTTGCAAGACTCAATTATCTTAGACTCACGCCAAAATCGGTCGAATCGATTATTTCGAGAGCAAATCTGGATGAGTGTCGGATCCTCTCTCAGCGTATAAACATATATCTAACCAATTTGTTTCTATATATAAACGCGGCTATAATCAATTGCGAGTTAATGATTCGCCCGATACCCATATAAAATTTTAACGTGATAGAGATGAGTGATGGAGAGTTATAATACAGGAATTATATACAGATGAGATTATTGTAAATTGCAAGCGATGTAAATTGTATGGACGCACAAATTCTGGCTGCGTTATCTATCGAAACTAACGCGCCATTTTCTGTACACTTGAAAGCTGTGTGCAGCCACGGCAGCCTCAAGTAAGTAGCCTCGATATTTCTTGCTGCGCTTCGGTTCGAGTCGCTCGTCTTTCGTTAACGACGCTGTAAACATCAATAGATCTGCGTGTAATTGTCTCGTACGTTCTGTCGTTCTATTACCAGTTTATCGTTCCAAAGAAAAGCAATTGCAGCACTTGGCTGTTGGCCATTAAATATTTAGCTCTTTAATATATCAAACGGTCGTTGCGCCGTTTTTACCGTAACTGTACAATTTTCATCAGAGGAAACGAGATTTGCTGAATACAGAAGCTGTAGCTTATCAATTTCTCTCAAGTCATTGACATTAATACAGTGTAAATTACTATTTAAATAACACAAAAATACGTGTATCGGTTATTTAAATCTGAAATAATTAAATAAGTCTGTTATTAAAAATTAATTTAATAATTTAAATGTTACATGTTAAGCAAAAATATTTTTAAAAAACGCAGCACTCCATAAATAACATTTGCTTGTCTGCGTTAGAAGAACAGATTGTCGAAATAAGGATTAATTAATTGTTTTAGTACATGCGGTTGAGATTAATGTGCGTACGATTCAAAAGTCGAAACGGGAGATATTGAAATTAATAATCTAACAGTTTATTATGTTCCGATATTTTTGTTGATATTACGATTACGGATTGAATATTGCCCCCGAAGGACTGAATATTTTATAATATCTGTATTGCAACTCTTTTTCATGTTTATGTAGTTTCATGTTTATTTAATTAAACAGCCGATAACGACTCCTGTTGCATATTGATTTTCCCGTGTTAAACACAACGAGAATCTGGAACGCGCGAAAGATATAAATATAGGTTATTCAGTTTTATACATATATGTATAAGTAACACTTTGAAGAATTTTCAGTAACGTAACTGAAAATCGGAATTGTATGTTCGCCGATTGAGGCCCATACATGTAGATATTGCACGTCTCTCGTTTCGTGAATGTTTTAATAATTTCGCAAATCGGATTACGACGCCATATTGAAGCATGTTAAACAATTCGCGGAACGCTTTTGCATGGAGGAAATCTTGCACCGTCGCGGATCCCATGCATCTTTTACGTGCCGGGAAAATCTAGTGTCGTCGCTCACGCGCGCATTTTTCTTTTCCGCAGGCATGCCGCGGGATGCAACTGGACAAAGGGGTGAAAGTCATGCATGAGACAGATAGTAAGAGAACTACGTACACTATACCCGCCTATGCAGATATCATGGTCGCGTACTCTACTTATGACGGTATGTATACATGCAGGCATATGCGTAAGTACAGAAGGCTACAGAACTTTTATCCACCTAATTCTAATTTGTGAATACCTACAAAGAAGTTACCGAACCAAAAGTTTTTATTAGTAAATGCTGGTATTATTTCGTTGAACAATAATAAATATTTAAAAATTAGAAGTACGCGTTAAAAAAATTGGATTATACACAGTAATATTTTCTTATAAACAGAATTTATAAGAAAAAATTTAGGACTTAGAAAGTTACTTTCAATAAATTGAACGCAAAATGCTTAATCAATGCTTAATCATTATATAGATTATTAAGAAAAATGTAATTCACTTTATTCAAGGTAGAAGCGACTTATAATTACGGTGATATACATTTGCTTCCACTCATTACATACGATAAATAAGCAAAAGATTATATAGTCCAATTCTTTTTCATGTTTACGAAAAGTATTCTAGATACCCTATTACCCTTTCTGTACACGCATCATATCTTCGTCTCACAATTTTCTTTGAACAGCATCGATTTTGTTTCATTTATTTATATAAATCTAGAAATTAGAAGGGGAGAGCATACGATAATTCTGAATCACTTTATACGTACAAACAGTTACATCGAGTAGCTGCTATCGCGTATAAATGCACGCGTAAGCTCCATTTCGATACAGCCCGTCCCAAGATAATGCAGGGAATCTGAACGAAAGCGGCGTTTCAGTGTGACGAAGAGTTATAGGACTGTCGCGCGCGGATAATCCAGTCGTGGACTATATATTTCCCGACATGCTTTTCCATTCAATTTTCTGGTGTAAGCATTTACCTGATATTCGTTTGAAACTTTGACGACAAGGAATTATAATTACGTGAATGAGATTATTATCGTCATTTGTAAGCGATGCAAGTTGAATGAACTATACTAGAGTGGCATATAGATATAACAGAGTGGCGGAGATAAACTAGAACTTCTCTCAAAATAATAAAAAATAGACATAATAATATGTATTAATACAAATGATGCATATTCAAAATAATTTTTTATGTTTGCAATGTGAAATCATAAAAAGAGATAGTTTCTATAAATTTGACCCTCTTTTCTTTGCTAGTAAAAAATTAACTAAGGTTTTTATTATTTAATATTAATAACAAATCGATCAATGTAAGAAGATCTCTGATTATTTTTTATTTTTATACGTTATGCGTTATTATATATGTTGCGATGTTGAAAATGTGAATAATACATAGACCTGTATAATCTGGATAATAGAGAGCGGTTGAAAAAATAATGATGCTCACCGCTTGACTGAAGCTATGCAAATAATGAATGGCCTCGTGCACAGTACTCGCTAATGAGGATGTTTACTCAAATTTCAAGCCTTTAGCTAACCATCATTAGTACGTGTAACATAGACATATTTGGGAGCATTTGCAAAGATACTCGATAAATCACACTCGTCGAACACTACGCAAAACGAAATTGTACAATCTATCAAGTTAAACATGGAAGCCACCGAAGAGAACATGTAATATTTTCCCAATCTTTCCTGCTTCGAAAATCAATGAAGCTTATTTGTTAGAAAGTAGGTACCCAATTTAAGATTTGACCGTTATATTTGTAACATCAAAATTTATACTTAAATGTTCAACGATGTTAAGTGAAATATGAGAAATTAGGAGATATATCTTTCTATCAAATTTCTGTTGTCGAGGAATCTAGTTCGTCCATCAAAAGAATCTTTAAATTTGACGCGTTATACCGAGATACCTATTGCACATTTATTACGTATCATTCCTCCGCATCCTCATTTATATTTCTTACTGCTCTTTGTGTTCGTCGCGAATGCCTTCCTGAAGCGCCTGGCGACGCTCAAATTCCCGACGATAATTTCATTGAAATGCATTTCCGTGCCAGTTTTCGTACTCCGCCGAGCGAAAGATATCAAGTATTAACGAGATATATACTCGATTACTAAACAATAAACGGATATGGCGAATGCGAATTAAGCTTCTTCTTCTGGCACACGTTCGAAATTCTATAGCGTCATAAGCTGCTTATTCTGAATAATGCAGGCATCGCGAACGGTACGCCCGCGTGATGTATAGGTAATCTGCGCCAATTCCTCGATTACACCTTGCCTCCTAACGCTCTTCTGCTTCCATGCCAACCGAAACTCGGTTAATGAATGTAAACCAATATTATTTGCAACTCAATGCCTCCGATATGAGCCAGCTGTTCTTTGAAATTTCCAATTATTATACCGATCATTGTGTGTTTGATTGCCTCGCTGTATTTACAATTTCTCGTAATTCGACATGACAACTTCCTCCTACTACAGGAATCTCCAGGTACAAATTTTCAAGAGCCTATAATTCTTCGTCAGAAAGAGCTGACATCAAGTCTCCATGACAGTCGCGAATGGTATTTAGGGGGGAAAGATGTCTAACCCCACACCGTATACAACAACGGCAACCTCCCAAACACCGTTATAAAGAATATAAAATATATAAAACTCATGTATAAAACATAAAACTTTTATATAAAACATTTTTTCATATAAGTACCTCATATTTTCAGGATATTCGCTAAAAATGAAAAAATCCGTTATTTTGTTTCAGCCCCTAAACGTTGAGATAAGCAGCTAAAAAATATGGATTTAATATTTTTTTATGCTCTACAATATATTCAGAGCCCAATCAAAATCGGGACAGTTTCGACCGTTCCCTTGTCAGTAGAATCTCAATAGTTACGACCGTTTTCAGAGCTGCATTTGCAGCACGCACCTTTGTGTTTAACACGATTGAAAATCACTCGCTAAAAAGGCCTCTAAAAGCGAATGCTTTGAGCGAGCATCGACGACGACAATACCCACATAATACAACACGTACATTTTCGCGCGGTTTCCGCTTGCGTGCAAACATTTGACTTGCTGTTACTAATGGAGTGCGAGAATTTGTGTTGACAGTGGTGCACGCACACCAATGAGGAACAACAACATGGTGTCTAGCGAGAACGTCAATCAGTCAACTGATAAATCGATACACGCGCGCTCGTAATACTGTCTCGAATCGAACTGAATCTAGCATTCAACCTAAATACGATTACAATAGCTCGATATATCATACGATAGCAATGTACAATACATTCGAACGTCTAACATCCCCCGTTTCTCCCGATTGTCCCTTGCGAAATTTCCTTCACGAAAATTTTGCTGAACGTCACAAGCCGCTCCAAAGATTTCGATGACTTTGTGACTAATTGTATACCTTCATTGTTTAAATTAAAAAATTTATATAACTGTAAATTAATTCTGTTGAATAAAGTTTGGAATTATAGTACATTACACGTAGTAAAATGTAATCGAGTGAAGTAATGATTTTTCTTCTTAGTTTCTCGGCAATTTTTATCGAAAGATGTGAAGCATTCTATAAATCACAGACAAAATATAAGTGAATTCATGAAAAATAAATTCTTGGAATACATGAAACGATATAATTTCTCAGCGATCGCCTCCGCGAAACCAGCTGTGACATATGAATAGTGTAAAAGATGTAGAGAGTATACACCCACAATGAATCCATGAATTGGCAAGCGTATTTACCGCGAGTGTGTTTCTCGACGTAAAAAACGAGGAAAAAGACATTTAAAAACATCGCACGTATGTACAGCGATGTATTGATTCATTATTATACCGTTACAGGAAACGAAAGTGCATTGAAATGAAAATAATCGTATAATTTCTGAAATATTGATACGAAATAAATGTCGGCATTTTTGTGGAAACCAGGACGTTCAGTGATTCAAAGTTGGATATCGTCCAAGCTTGTCCAAACGATTATTTTGAAACCATCCGGGCCATTCGTGGCCAAGATTCACGTTGTGATACATTTTTTCGCTCCTCTTTCATCCCCGTTCGCAGATCGATGTAGAAGCATTGTTCTTTCTTTCAATTTTATATTTTTCTCGCGTGCCCATTAGCCGGCGGATAAAAGTCGGATTGTCTGTTTTAAGTCTCTTAGCCAATTCTCGAATCAAATAAGAGATACGTGTTGTGCAACGCATTACTTTGAAACTCCAAATGGAAATCATTCTTTTAAAACTTTACATATCAACAAATTAATACGACTGTATAATATTGTAAAGCGTATACTTGAAAATATGTTTATCAACTGTTCCTATAAACAGTATAAATACGTTTTAAACAAAGCATAATCTGAGCGGACAGAAAACAATCGAAAATTGATTTCGTTCTCTTTTCTTGTAAATGCACTTGTAAATTATTAACAAAAGAGAGAAAGAATTATGATATAAAGAAGATAATTGACAGAGCATTAATTACGACAAATCAGAGTAATTACGACAGCGAATTAAATACAACGGCATTTCTCTCGATCATAAAATTTATAATTATAATTCCAGAAAGATTTTAAAAATAAGTAATAAATCCACAATTATTACATGCTTAAATAATTTTATAATTATGAATTTTATTGTTCAAATATACACTTATACAATATTATATACGACCGACGTAATTATCCCGATATGCAAGTGTAATTATTTACACGATATTAACGATTGGTGTTACATAAATATACAAAATTGCGTTTAATCGTGTATATAAATTACAAGAAGTATCACAATCCAATAAATTAAAGTTATAAAACGTAGAAACTCTAATTATACTAATTAACTAATAAGATAATTTGCATACTTTGATACATAATATTTCACAGAAATATTTTAATAGGAAGTTGTATCTTGTTTTGTACATTCTATATTGTCAAGTTGTACATTGTTGTAAGATATTTTTCTTTCACGTTGACAGTCCTGGTTTTCAATCCCTCATTTTTTTTTATTCAAAGAATTTCTTTATATTACGTTAAGAGAAGCTTTCCTTTATATCTTCGCTTCTAGTACGACGAAGTTCTGAGATAATGCCCTAAGTGCAATTCCGGAAGGAACTGCGCGATAACTTAAACTTTGCAAATCTAACGCAAACGCACTGACAATATGCGTGGAAATATCACAGAAGATTCCGAAAGAAATATTGCAAACTCTCGACTGAGATTCGCCTAAATTCGGAATCGAATGGCGCGAACTTTGTTACGATCACAGTTTCGGTGATTTATTGCGAGTGCGAGCTGCAGCGCGACAATTCGCGAAAAACGAGGAAAACTAGAAAAAAAAGGACATACCGAAACTCGGCAAACCAACAAATGCGTTGGCAGGTTGCTGGACGAGAATTTCGCGCAGTGGCAAAGCATACCACGCGATGTCAATCCTGCGGGATTGGATTAATGAAAAATACCTGTCGATTGTCAGCGAGATAGCTCAGATAATCACAAATTGCGCCCGCCGAAATTAGCACGTTTTGGTACCAAAGCGTTCGCATCTCATTTATGAAAATAAATTGCAATTGAAATTACATTTGCACGTGGTGTGAATCAAGTTACAGTTAAATTTCTCGCGTGAAACTTGAATGAAACCTTCTCTTCCAAAAATGGTACTACGTATATGCGGTGAATGTGGTATACGCTGAAATATAATTTAGAGAAGATACGCTTATCTTCCTACTAAATTTAATAAAATTACTATAAAAAGCTGTTACTTATGCATTAACATCATCTGCTTTAAAATCGGATTTTGCACCGCCATGCCATGAGCAGCTTATTTGTGGAAATACACCGCAAAATTTACTCGGTTGCTCGCAACCTTGCTCACATCTACTTTGCACGTCTATCGATTAAGAAGGGTAAACAGAATTTATGTAATGCGAGTATATTCTCTCTACGGAATGATGTTTGCGAATACACCATACACCCTGTCTGTCGTATTAAGCGAGTCCGATAAACAGGATTTGTTTATAATAGAAACAGAGAAGACACATATACACCCACACACACAGCAGATGATGGTTTACGTTGCTTCTCGTATAACCGCAACATTTTTTTTTACACCTGCCTGATTGCGTGTAGTTATTATCGATATTAACGAATTAATATCCACGCGATTGAACGCGAGTCCATTAAAATGAAAAGCAGGGAAAAAACTCCCAATAATATCCCAATGTATTTACACATTTCAGAATAATTTTATAATTAATGATTATTACCATGCATACACATTGATTGCATAGTGGATTTATTTGAGAATATCTGGAGTTATTCCGATGGTAATCGTTGCAAATGAATAAACGGATTTTTCAAATCTGTCTCAAAGAATGTCGATTCTCTATGTGAGACATAATATGTATAGAATAATTAGCCGTTAAATAATAGATGCGCGGTATAATGATGCGCGACACGCGGGTGGTCATGCTATTAATATCAAGGAAGAAGCTCACTTGTTAATGCATGTGCGTGTATGCGTGTCGTCTACATATGCAGCAGGAAGTGGACGTATTGTTAATAATGTGGGCGGTGGTGAATTCGCGGATAACACCTGGCTCGATGCTAAAGGCGTCATTAATATGCCGTGTAGGAGATAAGCGCGTAGTTAACATACCGGTGATAGCGAACGTGCATTTAACACTTCGCTATGGGAGTGAACGTATGGTTAATACATCATCGAGCACGTGTACATCCGGTTAGCACTGAGATGTTTCGCGTCACACGTGTTATTGTTAACGCTCAACGCATATTGCCCCCGATTCTCTCTAGCCACCAAAACAGCAAATAATTATAAATTTGTAAATTATTTCGAGTCGTGTTAAGCGGTATTAATAACTAACACTAAGGATGAAAATTCAATTCTAAGCTTGATACGAAAAGTTTGATAAGGATTTTTTTCAACAGTTTTTTAGTATTTAATATAAAACGTTTTTTTTAGAATTAAGCTTTTAATTAAAGTGTCTTAAACGGAAAATCTATCTGGAGTTAAATGATATATCGTTATCTGGTAGATAAAAATATCATTTGTGTTAAAAGCTTTTTATATGTTCAACTATTTATATTTTACGAAGAATTAAGAACATATATTTGGATTTTTGCAGAAAAACGGTCTCTATTGGTATAGCTGTAAGATCCCTAGACAAAAATAGCGGTAGGAATCTGGCGCACGTTGTATAAGAGAACACGTTGTCAGAATATATCAAGAAATCGATTTCTCTTACATATTCTTGAATGGCAAGTAGATGCAAATATAGTTTTTGCCTATTCTAACAACGTGTTTCCTGTAATACGCTTCGATCCTACAATGCAACCTTTCAGATGCAACGAATTCTATGTCGCGGCGATGCTTCATTTTGCTCGTAACCGTCCAATTATTAAGATTTATCAATGAGGGCATGGGTAGTTTTCCTGCTGTAACTTGAAAGTGTCTTTGACCATAGAATCGGTAGTGAAATGGTAGTTGGACTGATGCAGTATTCAGTATCCTTGCGAAGCACGTACCGGGTGAATTGATCGCATCGTGTTTGAGCCAAAGTCGATGATAAGCTCTCGTCGTGTAAGATCTATAGGATAGCGAGATAAGAGAGACGGAATAATTAAACAGTTTATAATGCAGCAAGATCCGGACGTGTACAACGCATTCAAAGATTAGGGAAGTGCAGGCGTTCCAATCCAATTAGTAATACACGGAGAAAGGGAATGGTCTAAATTTGAACTAACCGGCATTAACGCTATTCAGCGTCCATGCAAACGAGTTTAAGGGCAGATTAAGGAAGTAGGAGGTCAAAAACTATTTCTAACAATTAACCTTTATTCCACTTGTACCACGATTTATGCTAAAACTTCGGAGTCTGTAATTGTGTTTGCATCATTTCTGATTCTACATTGTCGTTGGGGTCGCGACTTGAGCATTAAGAAACCCGAGTTTTGAATAACTATAAAGTCAAATACTGTGAATAAATAAAACACAATATATTACAATGTTACAACATATAACAATATAAAATATAATATATAATATAATATAACATAATAATTTCCTAATAATCACATTCCAATAGCATTTTAAATAATTTTCTTATAATTATTAAATGAATAATTTATAAAGATCGTGTTTCATATAATGTTGTTGCTATCCCTATGTTATTACTAATCCCACGTTACTTTGCTTAATCTCAAGCCCATTAGATGAGGTCTAAGACTCGATGCCATCTAAATGTAGAATATACGCGGCTTTCCTAAGAAGTTTAAGTGCTATACTAAGGTAACACCGAACTTTGTAATTTCAGGTTAAAATATATCTGTTCCGCGCAACACAATTAGCAAGGAGTATGCGGTTGCTCGTATATGCGCGGAAAGTTAAGATTAATTTAAACTTATTGCCCTGGAAAGCTGTAAGTTTTTATTAGAAACCGGGTTATCTCAAAGTCGTAACAAATCTGTCAACTCGACGACGTGAACTATCTTTAACAGCTCTATGAGAGTTTCAATAAATTTATTTCAATTTTGTTTCACTTTTATTCTGAAAACCTTTTTAAAGCAGGTGCTATTAAGATACATGACCTACTCTTATCTACCTATACATAGGTCGTTATACTTGGGTTTTCATATTTTTCTATAGTAGAGCCTAGAAAAATAAAATTACTTAACATATTTTAACGCGTTAGAAAAGGCAGCTACACGTTAAGCGTCACGCGTGTATACAGCCAACGTATACTCGATACATATATTATCTCTAGAGTTTTAAATTTCTATCCCTGTCCTATATCGCTAACTTGCCACTATCGCATGGGTCATGGGTCATTCGCTGGTGTATCCACTTTACCGAGAGCTCGAGAGCCCGCTATCGATAACGTCGCATACATCCCGGCTGCGCGAAGTGTATCTCATTACGTGCCGGGGAGAGGCGAATCAATTCACCGCAGTCCAAGAATAAACCGCGCGTTACGACTTTCAGGTTTTTACTCGTGGCGCAATCCGGACTCGGGCTCCTGGTTCATACAGGCACTCTGCGAGGAGCTGGAGCTTCACGGGCGCAGCCGCGATCTACTCAGCCTAATGACCTTCGTTAACCGTCGTGTCGCCATCGAGTATCAATCCTATGTGCCGGGGAGTGAAAAATTCCACGGGAAAAAGCAGATCCCGTCGATTGTCTCGATGTTGACCCGCCTGGTGTACTTCCACGACAAGCACACACCGGACGATATCGATAACGGATCGAAGGGAAAGGGAACCGAAGTCGAAAAAGTAACGTAAGAGTGGCAAAACACTCGTTCTCGAACAAACTTACGATGATGGATTTTTCGGCAAAAACCGACAGATTGATTCCAGTCGAGCTGTTTTGATACATCGAACTTTTTGAGAAGTAATTATCGATCGGCGCAACTCATCGAACACATTTGGATTGTTACAATTGAGTTTCGCAGTCGCTATAGAGAATTTAAGAACGTAGTATGCGAAAAGAAAAAAGAAAAAGAAAAACGTATTGTTTATGTAGTTAAAAATTTTCTGCCTTTCTGTTGTTACTTTATTAAAAAAGAAAGCGATAAATACTCTCAAATATATTTCGGATATCTATTACAATTAAAAATGTATAATTAAATACTTTTAACTGAGGTTATTTTATATTTTATATCTAATATATAAAATTCAACTTTGCTTGTATTTTTTACTTGAGCGAGATGTATTATTAAATACGTATTAAATACATATTAAGATATTTCATTGCATTTATATTATACTAGAACACTGTAAGCGTGCCATTTAGCTTTTTTACTATACATATCATTACACAAAACAACATTTGCACCACAAAAAAAATATAACCGCATTTTGAATAAGTAACATTCACTGTCATTCGACTTTTGGGGTTACAGACACACAAATCATATGGTGAAACAAGGCGGGATACAAGCTTCGAGACAATCGATCACCCTCAAAGAGAAATTTAACATGCCCTCTATCATGAACACGCATATATGTCCACGACTTCGAAGTATTGGAGCTTTAGTTAACACACATTTTTTAGAAAGGGAATTGCTATTATTAAACCAAAACGTAAAAAGAGAAAAAATAGATTACAGATTAAGTTAATATCTAAATAGCATTTATTTACTTTTCTGTCCACTACTGCGTGTACCACACTGCATGTATAAGTGCATGTATAAGTAAATTTGTAAGTAAATTATGAAATATGGAATGTACGCTTGATAACACTCGATAAAGTAAAATAAATCGCCAGAATGCATTATTAAGCAATACGCTACGAATTATTATATTATAATTACATTCACAATATTATTCTTAACTAGTATGCTAATTATATGCAGATTTTCATAACGGAATAAAAGCTGTTATCATAACGGTCAAGAATAATAACTGACGTTCCTCGGGCTATTCAAATTCATCTCGACGATTGTGATAAGTAAAACAATGCAAAGAGTTTTATTTACGAATAATTAGCCAATATCTTTTCCTACACAAAAATTTAATTAGTATTTTAAGATGGTTAATTTAATTTAGCGTAAAATCATGTTTACTTGAATTTTCTCGGGTACGCGAGGGATGAATAGGCGATAGGAAAATTTCTTGAGACCGATATGAGCCTAATGAACAGAAATTGCTTGGATGTTTGCTTGCGAGAAATCGGTGGGAACTAATTCTGCCCCTTAATACATCCCTATGCTGTCGGTGAACCAACAAGGAAGATCCTGGAGATCTATTAACCGCAATGCGTGCGACTGCGATGGCATGTACAACGTCAGATTAGATACCTGCGGTCAAAGGAGTTAGACGCTATTAACCTTTGTCTTGGAAGACGCGAAGTGGAATCCACGAATTATGCCGTTAACCAGATGCTATCGCGAAATGTAATCTTCTCCGTGCCGCAGGAGTAGATTGATCTGCGGCGATAATACGGACAGCTTGTATCCCCAGAAATCTCGGCATCGCTTAATCGCGTTGTTAAATGTTGTTACAGAGCATAGCGTGGCTATGTGCCATGGATATCTTTATGATAAAAGATAAATAAAAAAATAACGATAATAATGAGTATGAACAACTACACGCGTTGTTACGCAAAGAACAAATGTATATTTCGAATTGATTTTAAGATCAATATATTTGCACATTTTTCTGAATTTTTATTTTCAATCAAATTCGTATAATGTTTTGTATCGCTCGTATTCTGGATGCGGTAAAAAAATTTGAAAAATATTGCTAAAAATACTACAAATTGATGCTGAAAATCGACGCTACATCGTTTTATTTGTAATTCAATGAAATTCATAACGGTTTGTTATATTGAGACTATGAATAATGTAAAAAATCAAAAAATAAACCCTGTTTTATTTTTAGTATTTTTTCAATAAAATAATTTTGCTGCTGATTAACAGTATTATTGATTAACGTATGTATGCGAAGAAGAATAAAGTAAAAATAACAAAGAAAATTGCATTTTCTACGACAGAAATATAATTCCGTTTGTAGCTTAAAACTGTAAAATAATTGAGCAAAATATTATGAAAAATTAGCTTGTAGAAATTATTTTTTAAAACAAAAAACATAACGCATAACCATTTATTCACTATTTACATTTTTTACTATTATATCCACAGTTCGCACATAAGATGTTTTATCGTACATTTTTCTTCGGTCACATTTAGATTTAGTTAATTGATTAAAATAAAAAACTGAAAAAATCGCTTGATTATATCCTTCATTAGATAATTAAATTATATGTTTAATAAAAGATAAAACTTTTAAATCAGAACCCATTTAAAATTTAAAATAATTTAACGAAATATACGGAATATTTATTTTTCATGATATTAACGGCATGATAATAAACGTAGGTATGATCCTTTTTTCTAAAATGTAAAATATTTTAAAAGTATATTTTGTAAAATATACTCTCCTAGCGTGTTCCAGAATGTAATCGATCACGAATCTCAAAATTATCGCTCGAAATCTAGAACTTCCGTTCGGGAAATATATGTGCGACGAATGAACGTAAGAACAGTGAAGTAAAGCGCAGGCGGTAAGAAGCCGATTCAATCACTGGCACTGGAAGAAAGGGTCCAGCTGTCGAGGAAATTCTTCAAACGGTTTTGACTTTCTGGCTGGCAATTCGAACGATTGCGAATCAATCCCATCTCTTCGCGCTGCTAAGTGGAGCTCTCGAAAAGCAAACCCTCGAATCTGTGCGAACGGCTCGTCTGAAACGCGATCGAAAGGGATTTCGGTTTGGGAGGCCTCTTGTCTCTTTATCGAGGCTCGTGAAGTACATCGTGTCAAGTAGAAACCACTTCGTTCGACGATCGTACCGTTGATCCGATCAATATGGATGTATACAAGAGTTGCGCGCGAAGTACAACTCTGCATGCAAACGCCGCATTTTTTTTACAATTCGAGGCGTTCGATATTTTACAGCTTATTCACTATCGGCCAACATATAAGCTTCCTTGTCGCGTATAAAAACGTTCAAATCGCATTTTTTACTTGCTTCCTCCTTCCTCGCAACGGCGGAACGTTGACTTTCCCTCGTCGTAAATATGCAAAGAACGCGCCTACATATATCTTTTTTATAAACCACCAAGCCGCTGTTTTGCGATCTTATAAAATGATTCGTGCAGGGAAAACGCTCAACCGTATTTTACAGAAGAAATATGTGAATATATTTACATGTACCGTTCATCACGAATGTCATATAGCTTTGAGACATTTAAAAAGAGAGCACTTCCAACTTGGATACCTGAATTCGAAATATCGTATGTAAGGAAAACCGAAATAACTGAATCTACGAATTATCGAATTGCAAACGAGAAGAACAGTTTTCTTTCTCTTACAAATAAAGAAAACCGAAACGCGAGCGTGGGTTGCGAGTGGTAGTATTTCATCTTGGGAGCAGTTTCGACTAGACTCGTAATAAATCAGTCTTCTACAGGCGGCTGTATCATCGATATATTTTATATATACTGCACAAGAAGATAAGTTACAAGATGTTGCGCTGTGTGCTACACACGTGCCTGCCGACGTCATAATTTTAGACTCTCGCAACGATAGCTAATCCGCGCACCATCCGTGCCGCGGAAAATCGAAACTGCGATCGCGATACACCGCGCGGTGTTCTTATAGCTAATCACCCCTTTGTCGTAGCACAATCTGCACTACATTCGGTGTAATTTCGGCAAAATGAAAGCAACGTACCAAGCATTCCGAGACGGCGTCACGGCGGTAAACTAAGGTGCCATTCGTCTTAATCTCATTTACAAGCTTCGTGCGGGTGCGACTGAGTGTTCGCGACTGTGAGCAAAATTCTGTCCTATTCGCACTCGCGGGTATTCCTATTTCGGTTTTGTTTCGATAGAACAGTGCCACCGCGCTTGGTAAAATACGCGATGCAATGGGTAAGAGCAACCGCTCTTAGGAATCGCGTTTGCGTTTTCATCAAGTTACGGGTATATACGTTACATATATATTGTATATATATGTATATGCAGCCAGCAATCCCTGTCGCTATTAGAACTGGAAAGAAATTGGTATTAATTCCATTAAAGACAAACAAAAGTAAAATATATCCAAATAAAAGAGTATATGCAGTACATGCCGAAAAAAGGCAATTGTTTTAAAATAACGATCAGTTCTCGAATCGAATTACTATTGATGAGTGATAAGCGAGATTCGTAAATTATTATCAATAATAATGTATAAATAACGATAAATTTGACGAGAGCAGTTTCAGTTTTCAAAAGCTCTGTTCAACAAATTCGTTTCTGATTGGAAGGATAACGAAGCAATTTATTTGCGTCACTACGGAGCAGATTATGCCAATTTCTCACCGAAGTCCATTGACGTTGCGGATAAAGCAACCATACATGGAATTCCGCTACGCGAGATAGATCGTCACGATGTTATTTACCTCGCCGCTAATTCGCCGACCGTCAACACGCTACTAAAACACATCGCGGTACTCGCGAACTCGCGAAAACGGTCGCGAAAGTGATGGCTAGATCGGGGGTAAAGGGTGGTCACTGGGTGCTGGCGCAAATTACTGCGAACGGGTGGGACATGTCTCCTCCATTCGACACCGGGATATAATCCGTTTTGATCCGCGAATGCCTTTCGCCCATCGCGATGGCGCGGATCGTTGGACGAGCCCGATCGGATCGGTTGGAAAGTTTTGACGCGATTCGCGACGCGTTATCGATCCAACGCCGGCCAACAACTCGGTCAGCACTTTCGCCACGTCGGTCGCGTCGACAACCACGTAATCTTTTTGTCAACCCTCTTTCAGCATGCGAGCCATAATTCCCGCACCAACGGGATATCCTTCGGGCGTCGGCGTCGTTGTCAGCGCGTAAACGCGGTCGCTCTTTTTTCTTTTTTTCCTCCCCTTCTTTTTTTTTCACGTGACGCAACCCCAAGCGTCGAGATCGCCGAAGCGTTCGCCGTAACATTCGCGCGACAGAATGCTGAGAATCATCTCCCTATCGTGCGCACCTATCCCTTTTGATATCTATGCAAAATAAAACTTCGGTTTTCCGATACGTTTCATCGGGCTTTCGTTTTTGCCAGGTTTTACGGCGTATCGTTGATTACATCGCTCTTCAG